ATCTGAGAGGTCTGACTCCAACACGGTGAGTTTGATTCTCTGAGGTCAGTTTACCTGCAGCTCGTTCTGGCCTCTGACCTCTGCCTGTGACCTCTGACCTATGCAGACTGTGGACGTGCCGCCTCTTCCTCCGGAGTCTTTGATTGCACCTGAAACCCAAGAGAAAAAGAAACTGCCCCTCATCAGGTCAGTGATCTCGCACAGCAACTAAATGAGAGCTAAGCCTCGCTCCCCGATGATGAGGTCTCACCTGGTTCTATGCCTGTGTGTCAGTGTGAAAGGTGAGATCCTGTGCAGTCAGAAGGACTTCAGGATCAACCTGTTCGTCCCAGGTGAGGGCGACATGATCCTGCTCACATTCAGATCAGTTGCTTCCACTTCCCTGCCTCACAGTGACTTCGCTCAACTAGAGACCCAGCCCCCAGGTACACCTCACCTCACCTGTTCAGTCCTTCATGACACATTTCCTCCCGCTTTTCTCCCCTTTTTTTTTCTTCTTGACTTTCACTACTTTGGTTTCTGATTTTTTTTACTTTTGACCTTCATGGCTCAGATGCTGTGGTTCCAGTGGATGTTGAAATGGGCAGAGCTGATGCTGAGGAGGGTGGAGGCGATGCAGCAGACGATTTCCTCCCCTTAAAGTTGGACAACATGGAGCAGGAGGAGGAGCATGTGGACAGATTGCAGGTGGAGGAGATTTCACCTGTTAGAATCACAGAACAGTTTCAGCCACCACCTCTTCATCTTCTTCTTCTCCTTGTGTAACTTCGGTGTCGTTGGTGTGTTTCAGGCTCCGAGTGATGGTCGAATGATCCGAGAGAGGCAACATATGGAAGCCAACAAACCGAGGAGAGAGGAGCCGATTCCTCCTGCTGTACGTTAATCTGCTTTAATCCCCCAGATTGCAGCTCAGTGTTCGCCACAGGAGTGTTTATTTTCCCCTAGTCAAAAATCTCACACACTTAAAGCACAACAGTACTTTTATTTTGAAAAGAATAGTTTTCATAAAGCTCCGGTTCCCCATTTTGTTTTCTAACTAGATTAATTAAATTTGACCTTTTTACTAGAGCTTCATTGTGAAACATCTTTTTTTTCTTTTTTTTTCTTCAGGTGAATGTTTGGGCGTTCCATGACCCATACGCCATGCTTGAGGAGGACAAACCACTGAAACCAGGTAACTATGGGGACCGCGTGGCGTGTTTCAGTATTCAGTCTGCAGGTGCTTACAGAGTTTTGTGTCTTCTGCAGGGAAGTGCTACAGAGTTCCCGACGGGCTGGACGACTGCGGGAAGAGGAAAAGGAAACGAGCCGCTTTCCTTCGGGACTTCAGGAGCTGGTTCAGAGGAACCTGTAAGAACAAACTGCTTGGAGCACTCATGTTCTTCCTGTGGACCCATTATCTGTTAACATGTCACTTCCTTTTTGTGTTTGTTTGTTTCAGTTGACCCTCCAGAGCACAAGTTGAAAAATGGACCCACATTTACAGGTAACAATAGGCTGAAAACTTTTCTGTGTCCAGAAAAAGACTTAATCTGAAGATTTGAATTTATACTTCCTATTAAATGAAGCTAAGACTTCCTGTTTTTCAGACCTCAACTACATCTACCTGAGCACAATCAAAGACAAACTCAAAAATCAGAAGAGGATGAACAGAAGAGCCGTAAGAGGCACACACCATCATCCATGCTGACATCACAGTGATGTCAGCAGTGACATCAGCTGCGGTTCAGGTCGTTTTATCAGGGTCAGTGTTATTGTCAGATTATGACTCATTACTATCACATTTGTTATGTCACTCAGGGAGTGATGATGTCTGACGAGGAGCTGAAGAGGACCTTCCTACAGCCAGAGGGGGTGGGGCCTGGTCAACTGGGGGAGGAGCCTGTGGAAGAGTTGAGACAGCACCTGCTGGGTAAGTCTTAGTGCTGGTCTGAGTTCAGGGTCATAAAAGCTGTTTGAGTGTGTTTGCGTTAAAGCCTGATATGTCTGTCTGAAGGTGGGGATGATGACGCCTCGGACAACGAGCACAACGCCTTTCCCGATGACGTCCCAGCCGAGTTTCTGGGTGGCCCGGAGCACATTTCACCTGGTAAAATGCTTCAGATTCAGACTGAAACTGATCGATCAGTTCAATCAGTTCAGTATCCATACAAGAACAGTGGAACGTGTGTAATGATCTGATGCTGTTTGTGTCCGCAGAAGCTCACCGAGATGAACTGAGTTACGAGGATCTGGTGAAGCTGCGAGTGGTCAGTGATCAATATTATTATCTTCAGTAATGTTCAGTACATTCTGATCAATCATACTTGGAGCCTGTAAGGTTTGTTCCTACTGCTAGAAGCTACCCATGATCAGAAAAATCAAACTACTTATAACTCCGTCATGAAGAAGGTGAAGCTTTTATTTTGAATAGCAGGAAGTTGATTAACCCTTTGTGTGTGGGATTTAGGAGCAGCTAGTGGTAAACAGTCGTGGTTACACTCAGGAGACAGCACTATCTCGGAGGGTCAAAGACTGGGAGGAGAAGATCCGCCCTGAGTTGGCACTGCAGGTAAAACCTGCTGAGCCCCATCCAGTAACTTAACCCAACTTCTGACTCAAACCCCTTCTGACTCTAAACCCCGCCTCTCCATTTTCTAGGAGGAACGCCCAGCATTTGACATCCATGATTACGGAGACCGCATCGTGAGAGCGCTGAGCGGCGTTGGATGCCGCAGAACGTTTGCAGCCATCGTTCATGGTCTAGACAACTTTGAAGCCTCAAAGTACCTGCTGGCCTCCCTGCAGCTGGTAAAACATCTGCACAGACATCAGCGATCAACCAATAACAGCACAGAGATCACACACACATCAGACCACACTTACTTTAATGATCTGAGCACACTCAAATCCAAAGGAGGCATTTTGCGCGTTTTGTGACTAGTTTGGCCCAAACAGTGAACGTCACCTGTTCCAGTCAGGGATGTCATCAAATGATGATGAATTCTCTAAAAAGCATAAACGATAAACTGCAGCATTGATACGTTAATCTGGTGTCATAGTTACGGCTCTGCACACACAGTTCGGTACAAGGATGAGCGCAGCGCTGCAGGTGTTTAACATTCTGTTGCTGAATGTTTCCTGATGAGGTCATCCCATCGAACTGAATAAAACAACATGTTTGGTCCAATTAGTGTCAGGAGCTTTTACCATGGGACCACACAAAATATCCAGGCTCTATACAGAAGTAGATGATGTCACCATGTCCATCTTTTATATACAGTCTCTGTTTAGACCCACTATAGCATTCGCACTGGGTATCGTCACTGATTTCTATAACTGATTGGATTCAATTTGATTTAGACTCAGAAATATTTTAATTCTGATCTTTTATCAGTATATATATACATATTTATGCATATTTATATCTATGCATTAAAAACAAAGCTAAGACTTGTGAGAATTCATCAGAGGTGGTCTCTGAATACACAGAGAGGCAGCTGTGCAGGAAGTGTGGTTTTTATTGTCCTGGGCACAAAAGAGGGAATTCATGACAATGTTTTTCAAACATAGAGCATAGTCTGGATCTTCTTTTGCTGCCGGTTCAATGAATTTTGGTCAGAGTGACGAAACCTGCAGCTTCAGAACTTGTGAGATATCAGCTTTCGGCAACGACAGCATGTCCGCATGTGCCGTTTACCTGCTCTCATTTGCTTTTTTGTTAACTGTTTAGCAGTGGTTGAAATAGTTTTGTGAGCTTTAACCTGAGATTCTGGTGTTTCTGGCAAAATACATTTATATTTAAAAATCGATTCAGGAATTAATGGATTGATACACTATTCAAATTGAAATCGATTTAAATAGGATAATTGATTTTTTTTTTTAACCCGCCCCTATCGTGCATAGCTGTGTTCATTCCAGTGAACAGCAAGGTGTGTGTTTAGGGGTTTTACTGTGAAAAAGGTAAGGACAGGAAACTGGATCAGTCTGGTGGTTTTATTCTGAAGTTTTATTTTGAAAATCCTCCATGACAGAAGTGGTGCTTTTATTTCTTTAAATCCTCTGAGCTGGTTAAAGACAGACGAGAGTCTGATGAGCTCGCTGATCAATAACAGAACAGCTGTCTGATCACTTTATTGATCAGTGACACCGTCAGAAGGTTGAAAGTCTGTTCTGATGAGTCTTCACTTCCTGTTGATGGATGGCTGCAGCTAATTGGTTGCTGATCATGACTCTCTACTTCCTGCAGGCAAACGACTACACGGTGGAGGTCGACAGTTGTGCCGGTTTGGAGGGAAGTTTGGACACAATGGCTCTGACTCTACTGAGCACGCACAGAGCGACGGACAGATTTGCCACGCTGAAGGCCTGAATGCAGCACAAGCCGCTCTGACATCATCATGTAACGTTTAATCGATGATCAATGTTATTGAATTTTTGTAATAAAATGTTTGTCACTGTCTGCACTCTCTGTGTCTGTGGGGAAAATCTGATGGTAACAAGAAGCCAAAAAACAAAAACGCACGACCTTCTGACGAGAACCTGTCTGTCACTCACGCTTCATTAAAGTCCGCCATAATATAACTTGTTTCCACAGCAACATTACAGCTGATCAGTTTTCATGTGACCAGCATGATCTGCCCTATCGCTGACCTGTTCACAGGAATCGGCGAGGTCCTCACACCCTGAGGCCAATCTGACCTTTAACTATGAAAACTGACACTTTCTCAGAGAGCATGTCCCACTGCCATTTATGTGACAGACTGGAGGAAATGCCCAAGCATGCACTTCTTCCACCTGTAAACACACTTCATCCACATTGAGCAAGAGAGAAGTAAACTTAACCTGATAAACATCTCAGCTCCACATGGAAGCAGTCAGACTGCTTCACTTGTCTGAGGAACAGGAAGTCTGTCTAGGTGTCAACAGAGGAACACCTTAAACAGGAAATCTGTGTGTGTTCCTCTCCTGACACCAGGCCACACACACACACACTGAAACCATCAGGCTGAGACAGGAAGTGAGGGAGCATGCTCTCTGGATTTTACATTGTTATGATCGACAAACTTTCACTTCAAACACGTTTACAGTTCTGTGTTACCATGGAGAAGTGTCCCGTTTTAGGACAAGAAGCAGTTTATCCCCCAGCTGTGAGTGGGGTTGTTATGAAAACAGTCTGTAATTGGTTGCTATATAGCCAGCGCTCACAGCGTGGCATAGTTTTTGATGTGTTTGCGGACACTGTCGGCGATCTGCTCATCACTCTTCATCCTGTTGTAGTAGTCGAGAAAGAGGCCGTCAGGGCTGACAAGGTAGATGAGGATAGTGTGGTCCACAATGTAGTCGCCATCCTCGTCTTTGGGCCCGGCGCTGGCGTACACTCTGTAGTCCCGCCCTGCGTGCTTCACCTCCTCGACCGTCCCCGTCAGCCCAATCAGCCGGGGATGGAAGTCTTTAACGTACCGGGCAAGCGCCGCCTCATCGTCCCGCTCTGGGTCTACAGTGATAAAAAGGGGCTGCACCGGCGGCAGCGAGGCGTCGCGGTCCAGAGTCATCACGACAGTGCTTAGCTTTTCCAGCTCTTCGGGGCAGATGTCAGGGCAGTGCGTGAAGCCAAAGTACAGCAGCACCCAGTTGCCCAGGAAGTCCTTCTTTGTCCGGCGGCACCCCGTGTGGTCCATGAGGCTGAAAGTGCCCTGCCCCAGCGCCACCTGCCGCAGCTGCTCCACTCGCTGCTGCTGCAGCTTCTGCTGTTTCTCTGAGTGCACAAACCACCACATACCCAGCAACCCGCCGCCGAACAACAGCGTAACCAGCAGCCGAGTCCGCAGCTTCATTTTAGCCACTACTGACGGCGACGAGTCCCGATCACCAGAGAGGAAGCGAGCCTGAGGAAGCCTGTCCTGCGGTGCTAGCCGCCACCTCAAACTCAGCACCGCCGAAGACACAAATGTCCTCCGGAGTGCCGCTCCTCCTCGCAGGTCACCCATGATGCACCGCAGCCCCAACATCTCCAACACCTGCTATAAGACAGGAAGACCAGATTATTTTATTATATTATTTATTCTGATCATTAATCTGTCAAATTATTGATTATAAAACATGTTTCACTTGTGTCTATTAAACTTTAGATCCGCTTATTTTATTTGAAGTCTGACTTCAGAAACACACTGAAACGCTAAGCTCAAAACATTATTTTAGTTTTAAAAATTTACCAAAATAAAATCCATTATCATCACGTGTTATTATTAGTTTCTGACATTCATAAAATAAATAAATAAATAATTAGTTTAAATGTAAAATCTTGGCCCCTTTGGTCTTCCATACACTCATTACCCTTTTAATCGTCTTTGGGGATTTTTCCTGTTTTAGTGAAGTTAAACCCACGTGACACTGCCTTACCTAGACCCCAGACCTTCAGTAACTCTCAGGTGAGTTTACGTCCTCACCTGTTACTGACCGCGTCACGACGCTGTTACGTCACAGGACAAATGTCGATAAACACATACAAACACCAGCCGAAGAGACACCC